CCACTTTGTACTGCAAAGCTTGCACAAAGCACTTCCCAGTACTACTTTGTACTACAAAGCTTGCACAAACTACATCCCAGCACTACTTTGTACTACAAAGCTTGCATAAAGCACTTCCCAGTACTACTTTGTACTACAAAGTTTGCACAAACTACTTCCCAGTTCTACTTTGTACTACAAAGCTTGCACAAAGCACTTCCCAGTACTACTTTGTACTACAAAGCTTGCACAAAGCACTTCCCAGTACTACTTTGTACTACAAAGCTTGCACAAAGTCCTTCCCAGTACTACTTTGTACTACAAAGCTTGCACAAAGCACTTCCCAGTACAATTTTTGTACTACAAAGCTTGCACAAACTACTTCCCAGTACTACTTTGTACTACAAAGCTTGCACAAAGCACTTCCCAGTACTACTTTGTACTACAAAGCTTGCACAGAGCACTTCCCAGTACTACTTTGTGCTACAAAGCTTGCACAAAGGACTTCCCAGTACTACGTTGTAATACAAAGCTTGCACAAAGCACTTCCCAGTACTACTTTGTACTACACAGCTTGCACAAAGGACTTCCCAGTACTACTTTGCGCTACAAAGCTTGCACAAAGCACTTCCCAGTACTACTGTGTACTACAAAGCTTGCACAAAGTCCTTCCCAGTACTACTTTGTACTACAAAGTTTGCATAAAGTCCTTCCCAATTCTACTTTGTACTACAAAGCTTGAACAAAGCACTTCCCAGCACTACTTTGTACTACAAAGTTTGCACAAACTACTTCCCAGTACTACTTTGTACTACAAAGCTTGCACAAAGGACTTCCCAGTACTACTTTGTACTACAAAGCTTGCACAAAGTCCTTCCCAGTACTACTTTGTACTACACAGCTTGCACAAAATCCTTCCCAGTACTACTTTGTACTACAAAGCTTGCACAAAGCACTTCCCAGTACTACTTTGTACTACAAAGCTTGCACAAAGGATTTCCCAGTACTACTTTGTACTACAAAGCTTGCACAAAGCACTTCCCAGTACTACTTTGTACTACAAAGCTTGCACAAAGCACTTCCCAGTACTACTTTGTACTACAAAGCTTGCACAAAGCACTTCCCAGTACTACTTTGTACTACAAAGCTTGCACAAACTTCCCAGTACTACTTCACAAAGCACTTTCCCAGTACTACTTTGTACTACAAAGCTTGCACAAAGCACTTCCCAGTACTACTTTGTACTACAAAGCTTGCACAAAGCACTTCCCAGTACTAGTACTACAAAGCTGCACAAAGCACTTCCCAGTACTACTTTGTACTACAAAGCTTGCACAAAGTACTTCCCAGTACTACTTTGTACCACAAAGCTTGCACAAAGCACTTCCCAGTACTACTTTGTACTACAAAGCTTGCACAAAGCACTTCCCAGTGCTACTTTGTGCTACAAAGCTTGCACAAACTACTTCCCAGTACCACTTTGTGCTACAAACTGACAACCTGCTTGGAAACCTTCGAAAAGGAGAGGTTTTGCAGCTTCCCCCATAGACACGGCGACGCCACAGGAAAACCAGAGACTCGAGACGAGACACGTGGGCGCAACAAAACGAGACGAGACACGTGCGAGACTTCCTCCAATTTGGACACTTTCGACACGTTATCAAACAGGTTGGAATGTGACAAAGTGCCACGCCTGCCACTCAAAACTACATGACAACCTGCTGGAAACCTTCGAAAAGGAGAGGTTTTGCAGCTTCCCCCATAGACACGGAATTAACGACGCGACGACGACGCGACGCCGACCCGACGACGATGCGACGCCGACCCGACGACGACGCGACGAGCCACTCGAGGCGAACAAAGGTCCAGCCTCCAGACCCCCAGACTATAAACGGGAACCCTTCGCTACGCATTCGGGAACAACAAGATAATCTGGGATGAACATCCAAAATCATCAAATCACCAGCTCAACGCCATCTTACCTATAAGATTCTATAAGTAATCAACATCACCACAACATGGAATTCAGCATGCTAATAGTGATCAGCTACGTGATCTCATAAGAAAACGGGTTACATATCCAAACTCCAGAGTTCCTATGCGTTCTTGCTAAAGGCACGACTTTTGCGAAACACACTTCCCCAAGGCACAACGATTTTTTCCTAAAACAGGTATGACAACAAATGCATCAAGCATCAGCAAACTTTCTGTGCCAAGTTAATGATGAAAATCTGACTGACCACTGAAGAACTTCTGAATCACAGGTGCGCACCATTGCTGGGCTATTCCCCCTTTCAAAACGGCTATTTGGGGGTATCCCCTAGTTTCAAATCAAACACACCCAAATTGACCACAGGAAGATCACCAGATCACCATTTCTGGGCGCAGCACAGCTTCATGGGGATCTTCTTCTTTGTGAGTTCCGCCTTCCTTACAAGACACTCACTCATTCATCTCATTAATCTCATTCATTTAGTTGATTTTCAGACAAGGTTGGCTTTCTTGCATGTCAATTGACATCATTTCATGTCATTTCATGCCATGTCGGTCTGAGGGCTGGACTTTCGATCCCCCCTTTTTTCGTCGTCGTCGCCTTCGTCGTTCTTCGCTGCCGCTTTTGATTCCTTGGCGATGCCCATGCTCGTCATTGAGAACACATGGACGCCAAGCTTGCCTATTTGATGTACGTACATTCAAGAAGCAAATTATCCAACCATTGAGTGAAAATCAACTATATTGTTGATCATATTTGCTCATCATATTCCCGTTATACCCCCTTAAAACTTTTATCCCCATTATATCCCCATGTTCCCTGTGTAAATGACGTAAAATTGAAAGTTAAATCCATTGGCAGACAAACCTGACACCCAACATAGTCAAAATCCAAGACACTGCCGGGAACATGTCATCTCCTCAAAAAGCCTCCAAGTACCATAGAACAAATACCAAATACCTGTAAGTTCAGTATGAGTTTTACCAATTTTAAAGGGTTGATGAGGGTCTAGGTATTCATGTTGAACATCCAATGTCCTCGCAATTTTGTCCACGGAACATGCTTGACGGCTTGATATTCATAGCAAATGTCCGGAAAATTCCATTGCCAGGCCATACCTTACATATTTGCAAAGTAATGAGGTGATGCTTGAAGATTAGGAATTGAACGAAACCCTACGTTTTTTCACACAATGTGCGTTCCGGCGGCGGTCTCCTACTGGAAAGTTGATTCTGGAGAGGTTGAGGAGATGATTGAGTGCGCTGTGCCATTGTGTTTGGTGATCCTGGTTTGCAGTTTGCCTTGGAATGGCTGCTCTGGCGCTTTGATTGCTGCTCTTGCTGAAGCAGTTCTATTGTGATTTGCAAGCTTGCGATTGCAGCTCGCAGTGGGAATGCTTCGTCCAGGTGATGCTTGAAGCTTAGGAATCGCACGAAGCCCTGTCTTTCTTGCATAAAGTGTTTCCCGGCGGCGATGTGTGGAACCTGGTTTTTGCGACAGGGCCGGTCTTCGCGCGTTTCATCTCGGACGCGTTCCCCACTGTAAAGTTGATTTGAAGAAGGTTCATGAGACGATTGACTGTGTTGTGCCATTGTGTTTGGCGATCCAGGCTCGCAGGTTGCACTGGAATGGCTGCATCCATGCTTGTCATTGCTGGGTAGTTCGACGCTGTTCTTGCGTGATTTGCAAGGCAATGAGTGGAGGTCTTTGTGCAAGCTTTGAAGTACGAAGTAGTACTGGGAAGTACTTTGTGCAAGCTTTGTAATACGAAGTAGCACTGGGAAGTACTTTGTGCATCTTTGTGCAAGCTTTGTAATACGAAGTAGTACTGGGAAGTACTTTGTGCAAGTTTTTGTGGTGCAGGAAAGACTCTTGTGCAAGGTTTGTAGTACACAGGATGGATTCTGTTGGCAAGGTACGAAAATGTCAAGAGAAAGAGATGCCAAGAGAAAATCATGAGAATGAAAAACCACCTCAAGACAAAGGAGATGTCAAGAAAAAGGTCTCAAAGGAACACAATTTTAACAGAAAGAGGTCTAAACAAAAATGTGAAAATAAAAGGATGTAAGAAAAATGGTGCCAAGCGAAAGCCGTGTCAAGAGAATGGGATGTAGAGAGAAGAGAATGTCAAAAGAAGAAGGTCTTAAGAAAAAGAGGTGCCAAAAAACAATACCCTCTGGTAAACCAACATAACTATGGAAAATCACCATTTTTAATGGGTAAATCCACTATAAATGGCAATTCTCAATAATTAGCTATGTTAGTTTACTGATACTGGAGGGTATTTTCATCAGGATGCCAAGAGAGACGTCAACGGAAAGCGGACATCGAAAATCGAGCTCCAAGAGATCACCGAGGAACCGCCGTGCCAGGCGGAAAAATCACCCGGCTTGCCCGGGCTCCACTGGTAGGTTTAGGTTGAGATCCAGTTGTAGGGTAGCTATATGTAGCTATTGCTATAGCATGCTATAGCTATACCTGAAAAAATCTCCTTCGACGGAATTTTGCTTCAGCTGCCCTACCCCCCCTACCCCCCCTACCCCCCCTCCCCCCCTGAATAGTCTGGTATAGTCAGTACAGTCTAGTATTGTCTGGTCTAGTTTCATCTGGTCTAATCTCGCCTGGTCTCGTTTCTTTTCTCAAGCGAACTAGCACCCACCTTCTTTGCATCATCACATCATCACATCATCCTCGTCTCCGGGGTCATCGTCATCGTCATCATCGTCATCATCATCGTCATCATCATCATCATCATCATGGTCATCATCGTCATCATCGTCATCATCATCATCATCATCAAACCAACCTTTTACACCAACCAGCTTTACACAAGCCCCAAATTTCGGCCTGTCGGCCAAAGGCCAGAGGGCAGGCGGAATGCCGAAGGCTGTTAAATAGATTAAAATAACTTTAAATAGGTGCTGATCCAAACAAAACTCTCATTAGCCAGCAAGCTAGTATTGGCAACGTGTCACTAATCGCACCACAGACCACATCGCACCACACCATGTTTTCAGAACTGAGCTGCAGAGAAGCATCATGCAGATGCCAAAATGCAGAGAAGATCGAGGGGCTCAACGCATCCAAATCTGAAGTCTCCAGCTCTTCCTGGGCGCTCGCACTACCCGGCCGTCTTGTTCCAAAATGGTGCGACTCAAACGGGGACTCCATATTTCTGAGTTTGTTTCTTGAATGCCATGTGTCATGGTTATCAATGGTTGAAGTCATTCGGAACTGGGTCTAGAGATCCAACTACATCATGATATACTGCATGAATATGCAGGAATGATCTGTACCTTTGTCATGGGGCGACAAGATGCACATGTCTTCTGGCTCTTGCTGAATGTCTGCAGGTTTCTAGATTTAAGCTCTTCAGACTCACTTTGCCCGAGTCGAGCTCAAGATCTTCAAGATCCATTCTGAGACCGAAAAACCACATGGCTATGGGTCAAGACCCTGGTGAAAGCTAAAATAGCTGGCCACTTCAAACCCATTCCCACCAGCAATGTCCCCATCCAGTTGAATATGGCAATGGACGATTCTCCATTAAAAACCTCAATTTGGTGTCCGAATTTTCCATGGATCCCTGAGCTGTCCATTTTTCAAAAAGCTTCCAGCCACTTGGCCACGGTCCTGCGGGGTAGACGTTCGCAAAGAAGCAAAGGAGCCTAGCAGATAGGTTTGATTCACGATGCTGCGGATTCACACTGCTCCGTTTTCAGTAGGATTCACAATAAGTTTGATATAAGTTGATATAAGGATGATATCATGCTATCATATAATATGTTCGCATCCAGTCCCTTGCAAGCAACATATTGTTTTTGCACTGCTCAATCACTCTCCCTCTGTCTCTCTGATCATCCTCTCCGACTCCGGGAAAACAAATTTCTCACACGGTTAAGATGATCATTGCCAAGTATTGCCAGCTGTTCCTAGCCATTAGCACTCACTACTAACCATCACTCACCCTCACTAACCGTGTCACTAACTCTTACTAACATTTACCCTCTGGTAATTTAGCATAGCTATTGAAAATACCTAATTTATAATTGATTTATCTATTCAAAATGGTGATTTTCTATAGTTTTTTGTATGTTTACCAGAGGGTACAAACCATATCAGATCAGAACATGTCTTTACTCGTCCCATGAAGCCGAATGGCTCCGGAGCCTTGTCGGTCTCCATCCACTCAGCATGCCGTAGCCATTCAGCTTCCAAAGGACTTGGCACATAAAGCCTGGGAGCACTGGGAACACAAACACGACCTGGGGTATCCACTGGGTATCCACTAGTTGAACAGTTGGACACCTCATTTGCACCACTCAAACATCACTGTTTATTTTATCTAGTTTGCTGTATGCCACATGTTCATACACAAGCTGAGGCCGGTGCGGTTGATCAGATGGCAAGAACGAACTCCTGACAGAAATGGCTGGTGAATAATCCCTACTAAGAGTTATTATAGGGGATTATACTACACAACAGTTATACAGTTATACTGTTTGGTTCATAAGTTAGTGATATATGAATAATCATCCCAAATCCCCAATCTATTTTCATGATCATGGATATCATGACATGGATATCATACGGATAATGGATGATAATGGATTCCCAGGATTCCCAATTAATCATGATAATCTAACTAGTGGGATGACTAGGGATTCCGGGCTTCCCGTCATGGATTGTGAAAATCCATGAAAATCCCCAATCTATTGGATAGTTTTTTTTATCCCAGAACCAATCGTCAACCAGGGAAATTGAACACTGCTCAAATGGCTTTGTCCAGAAATGGGCTCTCTAACCCCAAAATCCAATGGTTCATGATCATATATCATGTTGCCATTTAACCCAGACCCAGATAGTTTGCTGTTTCTCCATGACGTGAAACAGATATAAACAGATTATGTGTCCCCTGTTCTTTCCAGATTTGCCACTTGTCCAGATTTTTTGACGGTAGAGAAAGAGCATTGCTGCCAATCAATTTGGACAGAACCAGTCTGATCAAAAGGCCATTGCTGCTGCACCCGTTTTGGGATGGTTCATACAACGCATAAAAATGTGTGATTCTGTGGATGATTCGTGCGTTTACCACATTAGTAAATTCATGTAAATTCTGCCCCAATTTGACCACATTAGGGGTATAACCCCTGGTCCTCTGGTAACTTAGCAACTATGGAAAAATTCCAGAGGGTACTATAAACCACAGCTAAATTTCCATAGTTGCCAGATTCATTGTGGTACTCTGGTAAATCATCGAAGTAAATGGGCAATGACTTCCACAGCTACATTGCTGTAGAGGGTACCATCTATAAACTTGAAACCATCCCCAAGAATAAATCATCGAATCAATGGGATACCGGGATGATTTAATATAACTGGGGATATCTAATGGTAACAATGGCTGGTCATGATTTTTTTTCACGGTTTTTAAAGGGCGTTTAATGATTGTTTACGGATTAACCACTGGTTATCCCACAAAAATCATCTTAAAATCCCACGTTTTTGGTAGTAAAAAATAGTTAATCAATTAAAAAAAAAACGTCTAAAATCTTACGGCTGGAACCATTGGTTATCCCATACTTGAATATAATATTATATAATAAATCCCTTAAAAGCCACCAGAGATCGCTGTCGCGCCAAAGCTTCCAATACCTTGCAGAAAACGGCATCGCCGAAACGGGCTCCGGTTGGCCCTTGCCCTTTGCAAAATTGGCAAACGTCAACCCCCAAAGAAAAAGGGAATTTATAGCCATTTAAATGGGATGGTAATGGACTTGGGGGATATGACATTTACATACATTGCATGTGGATTTTATATGATTTTGTCAGGTTTGGAAACATGATAGGGCTGTTTCTGGAAGTAGGGAATTTATGGGAGAATGGCTATAAAATGCTATAAATGTTTATGGGATAATAGTCATCCCAATCCTAATTTATGGGATAATGTTAAATAGCCATCTAATTTGGGATGTGAATGGATTTAGGGGATATATGAATGACATTAATTGGATTTAATGAGATGTCAAAGGTATTCGAATGGATATGAATGGGATTTATATAATGGGATTTATGCTGAGTTAATCCCTCAAAGTGTGGGTTTTATATGGGATTCTCAGATTTCGGATTCACCAAATGGGATAGGATGTTAATGGGAGATGAATGAGGACATTAATGGTGAAGTAGAATCGTAGAACAACAATGAACAACATATATCCAATTTGGCTGTGCCATCCCTGAAAATGCCAAGTTGTTGCAGAACATGGCCAGAGTCACCGATTCATCAAATGTTGAGCTCATTCGCCTGCAAAAGAACTAGGAAACTCAGCCCTGCCATCAACTGGTTGGTGGGTTTAACCATCCCATCTTGAAACATATGAGTTCGTCCCTGGGAAGGATGACATCCCATATATGAAATGGAAAATAAAAGCCATGTTCCAAACCACCAACCAGTTACAGTTGTGGGTCGTGGTTTTTATTTCGCCTTCTTCAACCGTGGTGTTCCTGAAGGCTCACCATGGAGAGTGCCACTACGTCCTTTTTCCATCGTTTCCCATAGCCATCATTTGCGAAAATGATAGAAAATGTCCTCCATATTTTCCTCCATTTGGACAACCCACTTACCCAGTTGCCCAGTTACCCTCTGGTAATTTGTTACAGTTTGCGAACTTGAAAATGGCCGAGTCGAAATAGTGATGTTTCCCATGAATAGCATGGTGATATCAGTGATGTTCCAGTTCGTTATGTGGAAACGTTTACCAGAGGCTACCCAGTTTCTGCCCGCCTGAAGTTGAGGGTGCTCAATGTCCACCATGAGCAAAACCCGTGGCTCCGTGCCCTTAGAGATGAACTCTGCGTCATGATCTGTGGACTCGTCGAACCAAAAGCATTCGCCTCGCGGAAGTTTTTTGCTGGCACGGACAGTTGGAGGAAACCGTACAAGGACACGAAAAATGGTAGATTTAAGTGTTTTATTGGTTAAACATGGTTAAACCTTCATCATAAGTATCTTGAGCCAATTGCTAAGTGATTCATATTACAGTAGTTCATCCACGTTAATTCGACTTCAATGTACTGTATCTCTCTGGAGATGCAGAAGACACCTCCAGCGGATTATCGGATATGCAAAATCGACCTGGTACAAACTACAAACCTGTGGACATTCAACTGACCCATCTGACCCAGTACAAAATCAACAGATTCATCGATGCTGAGCACTGAAACTTGAAGGCGTCCTGATGTCTTCGCCTCGGCGATGGTACCTCTCCCGGCCGTGCACATGAACGCGTAGAAGAGAAATGCCATCGGAAGGCAACTGCAGCACGCAATGCAACCGAAAGCGACCCTCAGTGCCGAGCGTCCGAGCGTCATGTGCTGCTTTACATGCGACATGTGCGCCATGTAGCATTGGTCACTCGACAAGTCCAGCAAGTCCAGCATAGCTTCTTCATCACTGAGAAAAATCCAGGGGTGTCTCATGAAATGGCGCAAAAACCTCCATGTTGTGGCCATGTCAATTGGGAACATCATGGTATTGTCGTATTGTCTTCACCACATTTCACCTTGCCGTTTTTGCCGTACCCTAAACCGGTTTCGAAGCCCTTTTGTTGCTGTCAGACAGCGGCCTGGGTTTTCGCTGCATGAGGAAAGATGCTTGTGTAGGGTCCGAAGACCTAGGAGAGTAATCAGGAGATGCAAAAGGATGAAGAAATACAGTAATGTGGAGATGGTTCAGTATTGGCTTTACTATTGGGTTTACCACATTCTCTTAGAAGGACTCAATTATGTTCTATACTTTTCTATTGTTTCAATATGTCTTAATTCCTGGTTGCAGTGGATGTGAACATGTGAACTTATCACCCATTATCCAGGACTTGCTCAACCCGATGTTCAGCCCTTGGCACTAGCCTCTGGTAATTTCATACTTTGCTATGCAAAAATCACAATTTAAAAAAAAAAAACATTCTTATCCTGTTTTCATAGCACATGTTTCCCATAATTATAGCAATCATTAGTCAATTATCACTATTATCACAGATTCTTATCCAATATGGCGCACATATATCATCATATTATATCACTAGCAACCGATTCAGAAATATGACACTAATTTTATCACCATTAATATCACCATATATCACTATATATTTCTATCCAATATAGTTCATATATCACCAGATATCACCAGTGGATATGGCGTGATGTTCCTCCCATGTTCATCCCGACGCCGCCAAGCTGCTGAGGAAATGGTGGCGCCCGTGATCGTCAGCCCAGAAGCACCCAAGATCTCCTGGAAAAATGTCGTGAAAAGTCGTGAAAAGTCGTGAATTCTATGGCTTTTTTCTGGAGATACCCTCTGGTTATGTCAAAATAGCTATTGAAAATGGCCCAGTCGAAATAGTGAGTTGTCCCATGAAAAATTGTGATTTTCCAGTTCGTTATGTAAACGTTTACCGGAGGGTTTAGTCAAAGTTCATAAAGTTCGCAGGTTTCTGAAGTTATAATCAGTTACCCTCTGGTAAACTAACATAACTATGGAAAATCACCATTTTTAATGGGAAAATCCACTATAAATGGTCATTTTCCATAGTTATGTTGAATTACCAGAGGGTATCACTGGGGATGTTTGTGATCAAACGGTAGAAATCGTCGGACAGGTCAGGACTGCAAAAGCTGTTGAACTCGATGATTTGAAATTCAGTGATGCTTCATTTGGGTATGGGTCAATACCTATTAATACCATTTTTAGGGGGATGAACATCCATAAATCCCAGCTATGACTTGGGGTATAGGTACCAGGGTTTTGACCCATCCCCATTTCGCTGCGAAGACCAGCAGAAAGTGCTGCAAGGCATCACTGAATAAAGATGACTACGATATGGAATGATATGGATATGGGTACCCCAAAAACACCTTGCTTTTCTAGCAAAATCATTAGGATCCAAAACGGATCATCCCCAAAAAACCTTGGCTTATTAGGCTTTGATCATCTTTGATCCCTCCCCGTCATTCATTACATTACATCCCCATGAATATCCCCATGAATATCCCATGTCAATGGCGAAAAAAATCTCCATTTTCTCAACGTTTTCCAATAACGAATGAAACCTCCCGCAGGTTCTCCTGAATCACCCGACAGGTCCGAGGCAAGAGTTTTGAGCCTTGGAAGAAATCTGCAGACCAGGATTTTGTTCATGGTTTTGCCTTGGTAAATTGTTGGGGGTCCTGCAAATTGTCGCCTAAAACTGTTGGATTGCCTGATGGATTCTGATGGATTCTGATGGATTCTGATGGATTCTGATGGATTCTGATAAGTAATCCCAACATCCAACAGAATCCATCAGGCAGCTCTGCTGGAGAAAATGTTGCATTGTTTTTCTGCTCTTGACACTTCTTTCCATCTAAGGCTTGCAACGGAAAATGAAAAGGTGTCAGGGCTTGGGCTCTGCGGATGAAACCCATTTAGCCCGTGCCAAAAACGCCTGGTGCATGGCCCAACATGGCCGTAAAAAGGGCCCGCATTGAAGCACTTCATCACACGGAGGCTATTCTCCAGTAACCCTAAGAAGCCAACCACGGGGTTCCTGTCACATTGGGCATACTCGCAAACAAGGAGCTGCTGCTTCACAAGTTGGCCCAAACAGCAGCTGATATCGAACACTTACGGTTGGACCACAGGACCACTTTTGGCCAAGAGACATCGCTGATCCTCTTCTCCAGGTTGGGGTTCTTTGCCCATGAACACGATTCCCGTCTGCGGACAAGTTTGGGTGTTTTTTGTTCGTTAGAGAATTTTGCTGACAAATTCAAAAAACTATGTCAGTGTTTCGGCCACGATACGGGTGCGATCGTGTTCAAGGGCCGAGCATGAAAATGCATTCTGGTGGGTGACGGCGGTTGACCCTACATGAAAATTCCCAGGGGTTTCAATGGTTTTCGCCTGCTCAACACGAGTTTTTCACTGCTTTGGCCTCCCAAAAGCCTCGAAAGCGGCTATACTCTGGCAAAATCCCCGAATCTTCCTGCGGTCACCGAAAGGCTGCCACCGGAAGTCACAGGTTAAGAAAAGCCAAGCATCAACCACCTCATTGGAAGGACCGATACCCTCAACATAAACTTAAACAAAACACCAATCACATCAATTTTGTTCCAAAAGTATAATATATACATTACATTACATTACATAGCATTGCATTGCATTGCATTACATTACATTACATAACACTACATTACATAACACTACATTACATTACATACATACATTAATTACATGCATGCATACATACATATCCGCCGACCCCAGCCATTTGCAGGGGGAGCGCGCCCGAGAAAAAGTGGCGTTAAGCATTAAGCAACGTTAGGCAGTAGCGCCCTTAACCGGTGCTGTTGGCAGCTTTCCGGCTCCCCAGCGCACGACTCGACTTTGGCCATCTGCTGGGCGCTTCGTTAGAGCTTCGATTCTCTAGTGGCTTCAGAAAGCAACGTTAGGCACTAGCCTGCCTTCAAACCTTGCCGGTGCGGTTGGTAGGCTTCGCGCACGACTTTGGCCATCTTGGTTGAGCTTCTCTATAGTGGCTTCAGAAAGCAACGTTAGGCACTAGCCTGCCCTCAAAGCCTCCGCAGCGCCCTTGCCGGCACTTGTGGCAGGCGTCCGGCTCCCCAGCGCACGACTTTGGCCATCTGCCGGGCGCTTGGTTAGAGCTTCTCTAGTGGCTTCAGAAAGCAACGTTAGGCACTAGCCTGCCCTCAAACCCTCCGCAGCGCCCTTGCCAGCATTGCCAGCACTTTTGGCAGGCGTCCGGCTCCCCAGCGCACGACTTTGGCCATCTGCCGGGCGCTTGGTTAAAGCTTCTCTAGTGGCTTCAGAAAGCAACGTTAGGCACTAGCCTGCCCTCAAACCCTCCGCAGCGCCCTTGCCACCACTTTTGGCAGGCGTCCGGCTTCAGAAAGCAACGTTAGGCACTAGCCTGCCCTCAAACCCTCCGCAGCACCCTGGCTGGCACTTTTGGCAGCCTTCCGGCTCCCTCCCGCGTGCTTCAGAACCAGGCGCTTGGTTAGAGCTTCTCTAGTGGCTTCAGAAAGCAACGTTAGGCACTAGCCTGCCTTCAAACCCTCCGCAGCGCCCTTGCCAGCATTGCCAGCACTTTTGGCAGGCGTCCGGCTCCCCAGCGCACGACTTTGGCCATCTGCCGGGCGCTTGGTTAGAGCTTCTCTAGTGGCTTCAGAAAGCAACGTTAGGCACTAGCCTGCCCTCAAACCCTCCGCAGCGCCCTTGCCAGCATTGCCAGCACTTTTGGCAGGCGTCCGGCTCCCCAGCGCACGACTTTGGCCATCTGCCGGGCGCTTGGTTAGAAAGCAACGTTAGGCACTAGCCTGCCCTCAAACCCTCCGCAGCGCCCTTGCCGGCACTTTTGGCTGCCGTCCGGCTCCCCACCGCACGACTGTCGCCATGTGCCGGGCGCTGGGTGGGAGCTCCTCTAGTGGCTTCAGAAAGCAACGTTATAGGCACTAGCCTGCCCTCAAACCCTCCGCAGCGCCCTTGCCGGCACTTGTGGCAGCCGTCCAGCTCCCCAGCGCACGACTTTGACCATCTGCCGGGCGCTTGGTTAGAGCTTCTCTAGTGGCTTCAGAAAGCAACGTTAGGCACTAGCCTGCCCTCAAACCCGCCGCAGCGCCCTTGCCAGCATTGCCAGCACTTTTGGCAGGCGTCCGGCTCCCCAGCGCACGACTTTGGCCATCTGCCGGGCGCTTGGTTAAAGCTTCTCTAGTGGCTTCAGAAAGCAACGTTAGGCACTATCCTGCCCTCAAACCCTCAAACCCTCCGCAGTGCCCTTCCGGCTCCCCCGCGCACGACTTTGGCCATCTGCCGGGCGCTTGCTTAGAGCTTCTCTAGTCGCTTCAGAAAGCAACGTTAGGCAGTAGCCTGCCTTCAAACCCGCCGCAGCGCCCTTAGGCTTGCCGGTGCTCTTGGCAGCCTTCCGGCCCCCCACGCACGACTTAGGCTATGTGCCAGCGCTTGCCCAGAAGTTTTCTAGTGGCTTCAGAAAGCAACGTTAAACACTAGCGTTGTTTGGCTTTGGTACAACCTGTGACAAGATGGGGAAACTGGAAGTGACCCGAGATGCGAAGATCCAAATGATATGAAAACCCAGATGGACAAACAGGTACTTATGAGGATGCTTCAAAAGGAACAGCATTTTGGGAAACTAAAAAAGAATACCCCATTCAGAATAAACTTACAGGATGACGCCAAAAGATTCTGACGACCAGCGTCGCCCTCAGAACTTCACCGTTTTTCCAGGCCCAAAGAAAAAGAAGACATACCGCGTACCCAAAACCCACTACAATTCTTTCCCCGATATTTTGAACAAACGCCAGCCTGTCCTCGATCAGTGAAGTCAAGATCTCCGCAGCATCAGCAGGAGTGTTTTGCGTTGTGCCCATGTCTACCGTCTGCCGGTAATGATGCAAACTGTGCGACATGGGCTCGTGGCAAGCCACTCCCGGAATGGACCTTGCAAGATTTGCAAGTGTGAAATCTTTCAACCCACGCTTGCTTTGAAACAACGTTGGTCGCTGAAGCTCCCATTGCGCCAAGCAACTTGCTGTTGGAGAAACCGTCACCACTCCATGCCATCCACCTCAACGGGGACAGCGTCTCTCTGAACGGAAAAAAGGTAAGGTGGAGCTGCAGGGCGCCTCCACTCCAACATGATAAAGACCGCCAAATTTGATTGGAGCAAAAACCTGGGACAAGCCAGCTGCAACTCTGGTGGTTTGCACGGGCAACACAAGCAACTCGAATCAACACCTGGTTGACGTTTTGGACCCATTCCTCCTGGTCACATGCAGGACGCAGCTTCGAAGGAATTTATGCGACATGTCTGACATCATTTGGCAAAGCGCTGTCTCTAGGTTTTGGGGGAGCTGGCCACTGCGACATGTTCAAGAAATTGAACTGCTGCACTTTGCTGTTGCACCGCTATGGTCAGTCGCTGGAACATCTCCATGGTTTTTTTAGGGCAATTCAAAAGTGTTAGAAGTGTCAGCTCGCGACTTCACGCCCGCATTCACTTGAGTCCTGGGAAACGTCATAGACGTGCAAGAAGACCCGCATGCCTTGAGCCTTCCATTAGAATTCGCAAGACAATGCAGAAAATCATTGAACAGCATAGCAATGCCTTTCAATGCATTGCTTTCATTACCAAAACTGCCAACGCTAGCTTGCCTGGGGCAACCTTGCGATGCTGACCTCAAGCAAACCAAGGATCCAGGAAAGGTGACCACATAAAACCAAAAGGCTTTTTGACGCCATTTTAAGACACAAACAAAAAAAGCACACAACGACTGTGCTGCGGGCTGCCCTGGCTGAACCTCCAGCCCCACCCGGTTGGAGAAGAAATCCGGCCTTACATCCCAGCTGCAAAAGTTTAGGGTGGAACCATGGCACAGCTAGATTACTAATTGGAAAGGGGAACAGGAACAGCAGCACGGTGAAACCGTGGTGCTGCTGGGGTTCGCACGTTTCAAGCGGGCGATCCCTTGGCGAAAGTCAGCAACCATGGTGTAGAGGGAAAGGATCCCCACACAGGGCCAAAGGCCTTTGTTGCCATGAGACACAATGAGGAGGGGAGACAATGCGCCACAACACTCCACGCACAGAGGCAAGGCAACCAGGCCGTCGCCGGAAGCAACGATACCCAGAGGGAGGGACCAGGAGCACTGCAGGTGGGCACTGGTTAGAGCTGGCCATTGTGTTGTGTTGCATTGCTTCGGCTCTGCTTGCCTTGTCCGTCATAAGGTTGACTAGTTCGGCTATCTCAAACAATGAGGTCGGCACTTTCACGTTTTTCGGGGTCTGGGGTGGACAAAAAGAGGGTGAAATTTGAAGATGCGTTTTGGAGGTCCTAAAATCGGAAAAAAGTGCCGTTTTGCCACATTTTTCGGACGATTTTTCGCTTTTCGAAATTCACAAAATGCTGTAAATTACAGCATTTTTGCGTTTTGCCGTCTTCTGCGGGAGCCATGCAAAAACGCAGAAAATGCTGTAAATACCAATACGTTTTCAACCAGAGATGCACGAAACACTGCAAATACCAGTGTTTTTGAAAGCAAAGCAAAAAAAACACTGTAAATTACAGCATTTTTTGCGGGTTGATCGCAAAAAATGCTGGTATTTACACGGTTTTTGCAATTTCAAGAAAACGTGGAAAGCACGAAACACTGTAAATAGCGGTGTTTTGGCGACTTTTGGACGCCGACACGCTTGTATTTACGCAGTTTTTTGCCCATGAGGGCGCCAAATCCCTGTAAATTACAGCATTTTCTTCCCTTTTTGAACCGATTTTTTCCCTTGATGAACGCAAAAAACGCTGGTATTTACGCGTTTTTCAAAAAATCGAAGATCGTGATGTGAACCAAACTCTGTAAATAAGAGTGTTTTAGCCTTAGCCACTTTCGGGGACTACAACTCTGGTATTTACACGGGTTCTTGCCATCTCACAGCGCAGAATGCTGTAAATTACAACACTTTGTCCGCATATAAGGCATAGGCCACCATGGCCTCAAGATGGGCCAACATAGCCCCAAGCTGGGCCAACATAGCCCCACGATAGGCCGCCGACCCTCAGCATGTCATGTTCGCAAGTTCAGATGACATCCCCCTCTCTCTTTCCCTCCCCCGACCCCTACCGGCGTCGCCGGTGTGCGAAGCTCTACAATAATCATATATATATATATATATATACAGCACAGTTTCATCCTCAACCTCTTCTTCGACTGTCAAAGAAAGCATGACGTTTCCCCCTTTGAAACCCTTTTCAAGGTCATCGAAGCGGTTGAACACAGTGGAAACACGGGAACAGTATCCAAAACCCAGAGCGTCTTTCTATTTAACCGTGGTTGCTTCAGAAAGAAATTCCCAGTTCATGGGTGGTGATAATCCCTAACATAAGGACCTCCCAAAAAATCAACATGTTCATTCTTCATTTTTTGAATTTGTTTTTTCCAATTTTTTGGAAGTTTCTACAACCCCGAATCAATCATCAACCAGTCGCATTTCTCCCTACCATGTCATTCGCCCGTCGCGCCTC